TATTTAGACAGACTGAAGACTAATTAAATTCTTTCCATGTATATTATAATAAAATTGACAGAGTCCATCCATCCACTTTCTGTGCCCCCAATCCTGTCCAGGTTTTCAGGGAGCTGGTGTACACCCTGGACATTTCACCAGTCAGGGCCAGCACAGGAACATATAACCATGTGTACACACCTGAGGTCATTTTATAATCATCAGATTTGCTTAACAAGCAATACAACATCATGTAAAATACTCCATTTCCCACTTAGAAGAGTTTTTCTTTAGTGTTTTCSTATTGTCCCTGTACTGTACTGGCCACTGTTTTGGGTTTGTGGGAGGAAATAAGAGTATCCAGAAAAAAAGCACATTTCCACAAGGAGAACATGCAGTACCCACACAGAGAGGCCCCAGCGGAGATTTGAAGCCAGGATTGTCTTGCTGTGAGGCAACAGCACCAACCACTGTTTCACCAGACCACCCAGCAAAACTTTATGCATATTACAGTATTTGTTATACAGACAGTGTATATATATCTCCATTGTTCAGGAATTATTCTAATAGTATTACCGCAGTACTTGGTTTGCATTTAATTGAAATACAAAAACCTTAAAAAACAAAACAAACAAACAAAAAAAAAAAAAGGATAACTGGCCTGTAAGCATGAAACATGTTACCACTGAACAGGCCATAATGGATGAACTGTACAAAAAGTTAAACACGTTAGCATTCCTTCCACAAAGTTAGAGTTTAGTAACATGAAGTTGTAACAAAGTAGCTCAACATATACGGTCCTATACATTGATGAAATATAATAACAGAGTCTTTTTCAAAATAACTGTTAGACCACCATTGTTTTACTTTACTTGTGTGTCTTTCTATCCCAACAAACGTCATAACAGCAATGATAAAGTGAGAACATTAGCACCAGCAAGATAACCACAAACAATGCATTCTGCGCATCATGTGACCCAAGTATTGGACGAGGCTGTTTAATGTTTCTGGAACCCATCATTGACAGAGAAAGATAATTTCCCYGGCATTTAAAGACATTTTTTGGGTTTTGGTAAAGAAGCCTCAGAGGAAAACATAATTTCTTCATCTATTTACATTTATATTGCTCCTACTTTATAGTTTCAGAGAGTAAATACTTGAGCTGATCTGTGCATGTGCTGACAACATAGCTTGGGGTCAAGCTTTGAAGGCTGTCTGGCTGTTAACTATTTGCTAACCTCAGCATACTGCCAGATCAGGACCACCACTGAGTGTTTGACACACAATTGGCAGCTCAAAGTTCCACGTCCCTTCCATCATGGATCCTGCATCCTGTATTGATCCTGATATCTTAAAAGCAATAAAGCATTCTGGGGCATTTTTTTGAAAGAGTCAAGCATTCACAAGTCTGACTACATTTGCATTTGCTGTGGTGGAATTACTGTATGCATGTTGTAGTGTTTCAGTCAGAATGGGTTGAGCAACTCGTCTGAAGTCAAATTACTGATAGACTCTTTGATTTAGTAATCAGTTTGGATGTTTTGCAGCGGGTTCTGTTGAAAAGTTATGAACAAGTAAAATTATACCTTTGGTAGTGGGGAGCACCCCAACGACTATACTGCAATTCTACAGCAGTAAGTGTAATGCAAGCACATTTCTGCCTTCTTACACTTTTCATTTACGTTTGTTCCAGTTGTAGGTATCTCAACAACAGTCWGTAGGACCGCCCTACAGGCCTGGATTAGACGTCAACACTCAATCCGCTGGAAGGATCTGATGGACTGTAGACAGGCATGCCCCAAATCATAGATTTGGGAAAGCTCTCATCTCCCTGACAAAGAAAACTCTAAGTACACTGGTTGGAGTCCTAACTGGGCACAGTCTGCTCAATTGACACAAAATGGTGATGAGACTCCATGACAATGGTCTGGGAAAAAAAATCTTGGGGACCATTTTATGGATCCTGAGAAGCTCAGAACACTATTTCTAACCTCATGACCTTCATCCGAGGTTTGAATAAAGACCGATGTCATTGTAAGTGGGACCACTTACGAGGCCCCCACTCATATGGGATTTTATCCATCACCAAACACCATAACCATACCTTTTGTTGATTTAAAAAAGTGAGCTTTTGTCTCTTTATTTTATCAAGATTATGAGCTTTAATCTTGTGAGCATTTGTCTGTACACCATCACTTTACCTGTATAACCTATGGTGCTCACTTTGGTCATTTTTTAAAAAGCATCTTCAATAGGTTAATGTTCCATCAGTCAAGGAACAAAACCAATTTTGTTGTGAAATTCTGATAATATTAAATAAAAATAATAATAAAAAACTCTTAATGCTACAGTTTTAGGCATTTCATAAGTGGGTGTTGAGGCTCATCAGCCAGAACAACTGAAGAGGTCCAACATCCTCAGAGCGATAAGGCTCATGTGGAAGAAGAAATAGCTGTTTGCTACCTAAATTAGACGGTTGTAGGTATTTTCATACATAAATATATGTGAGGCCACAAACTTCAGAATAAGTGCTGTCAAGTGAAATAACAGAAATACTGTCTTTGCATCATAGTCTCTAGAAATTGTTCCAGCAAACCATAGGCTACTTTAGACCTAAGTAGTTTCAGGTTTGGGGTGATGTGATCAAAAACACATGTTCTCAGATGACCTGCTGGCAAATGAAACTCGTAAACAGTCATGCACATTGTCGGCGCTAATACTCAAACAGAACCTGATCAAGGTTTTCATCTGACCACAGAAAAACTGAAGGTTGGCAGCAAACATGTGCGTCACTGCAGGGGGATTGCATCACAATTTAAAACATCACTGCTGGATTTAAATTTGAATACCTCAAACCATACAATAATGTGCTAACCTTTTTATTATTATTTCATATTTCAATCTATTCAAACTATCCGAAGGAGACTATGTGGGAAGAAGGAAACTTTTTCAGTAGTTTGAGTGAACTCTGTTACATTTTCACTAGTTTGAAACATTGTCAAATACATCCTTGATTCCCAGAAATACGATGATAAAACAAACTCAGTGTCACATTAACTATGAGACGCAGTGTGCAGGCGAGAGTATCTGTGGGTTAAAATCCGAGGTTTCTTTTAGTATTTGTGTCATAAATTAGATTCCCCATGCTGTGACTGAGACAGTGTGCTCTCAGGTCTGCCTCTTTTAGTTTTAGACTCATTTACAAATGTCTTCTGAAAAAGTCACCACGTGCCAAAGTGTGGCTTGYTGAATTTCGCTGCCAAAACAAATTCCAGGTGATTATGTCCCAACAGCTGTGGCTCCTGTGGCAAAGTCAAGCAGCTGTGTAGCTAAAAACTATCACGTCTTTAGTCAGCTTCCTCAAAAAAATTGTGTTATAAAATGCTGTGAATGTTGCTTTCATGGCAGAAGTTTAGAACTAGTTGCATCACTTTCCATTGGCAAATATTTACCTTCTCAGTTTAGTTTAACCAACTAAATTCTCCACAGGATGATTTTTTTAGAAGCAAGGACAGCTGAGTGGCTTTTATATGGTGCAGATATAAAAAATGTGGCAAAGAAGAGCAAATACAGTGTGATTTAGTTGTATTTGTTGGAGATGTGCCAAAAAAAATGGATGTCGCTTTCCTATTTCTAAATGATGGGACTTGTTTTTGTGTGTTGACTTTTTGTCTATAGGATTCTCCGGTTAGACTTACTGTATGGAGCATGACAAAAAAAAAAAAGGGGGGGGGGGGGGKGRCGGAGAGGGACAGAAGAAAACAACAAGGTTCTTTATCTTTCTGCTGCTTGAAAAGCTTATTTCTCTTCAAGTCACACAAGTCTGAAAAGCAGCCCCTCCTCTACCTTATTTTACTTATTTTGGCCCCCTGCCTTCACTTCCCCACAAACTCACATTGAATGACATTCTTTTTTTTTTTTCTACCACAAGGGCCGCCTCTGATTTCTTACTGGTTCTTCAATTCCCTCCTTTCTTTTCTCCTCCCCTCTTCTTTTTTTTCCTCTCTTCTCTTCATTGCTGGTTGATCACAGCAGTCAGCTCAGAACCAAAGAGCCCCTCGTCCCCTACCAAGCTTTAAACCTGAACTTTCCCCTTTAAAAACCCGAGATCACCCCAGAGGACGTTATTGCTCAAGACTAAAAGGTACAGCAGAAAATACTATCTTTTCCTATTTGATGTGTTTGGAGATGCACTGAACCACCTCATGAGAAGCGCAGTTTGTGTGTGAGACCTGAWCTGTCAGCTGAATGTGTGAACTCAAAAAGTGTACACGTGTGTTTTACTGTCGTCAGCAGTAGTTTTCGGTGCAAGTGAAACACGTGTGATCCGAGCTCAGAATCTCACTAAGCTGGATCATTTGTGTTGGTGATGCCTTTAATCATTGTACATGTGGGGAATCTCACAGATTGCAAAAAGAAAATAACCTTGTTTTTTAGATTCTAACACTGATTTTAGCTTTTCTAACGATATTTATTTCTCACACAGGCAGCTTTAACCAAAAGGAGGTGTGCCAGAGAGAACCAGCATTTGTACCTGTTTTTGTTCCAGTCCAGTGGACGACTAGTTTCCCAACACCTGAAAGGTCTAGCCACAGCTATGACACAAAGCAACGGGGAAAACCCTCAGAGGAACCAGAGTGGTCTTCACCAGATCCGAGCTGGCATCCAGAACCGATCTCTAAAGGCCAAGAAGAGAGTGGAGGACATCACAAAGAATGACATAAAGAGATTCTTCTTCAAAAAYGCTTTCGTCATTCTAACCGTAACTGCTGTCATTACAGGTTAGTAACGTTGTGTGGTGGAAATGTTTTCGCCGTTCGGTTGAACTTGGTTAAAACCCATGAATGGTCGTGTCAGTGAGCTTTGTGGCAGGATGGAAGACAGAAACAACTGGAGTCAAAGTCACCGGGTGAGAGAACAGGGGGAGTTCTGATGGCAAAAGCAGACTGGTCTTTGCTCACCCCTGAGGCTGAACCTGTTGCCTTTAACCTCTGCATTCTACCTTCAGGCGGTGGGCCAGACCCAACCAAAGCATGAACAAATGCCCTGCTAAAAATACACTATGTCATAGTGCATTCGTTTGATGGACTGTAACATTTAGGTTATTTCTCAGGTCAGGCTGCAGGGTCAGTCACCTCAGCCTGCCTAGTGTTGGACTGGCAGGACAGACTTCAAGAACAAATTTAAAAATAGCTTCATGGTCACAACCAACCTAAAGCATCAGTGGGATTTATGTCAAAACYTATATGATATTTTTCTATTTTTTATCAGCTCTGGATGACCACCCCTGAGCCTTATCAGTGTTGCTCATCTTTGCTTCCACATCTGCTRCAGGTATAATCCTGGGTTTCGCCGTGCGTCCGTATAAATTGTCTTATCGTGAAGTGAAATACTTCTCCTTCCCTGGAGAGCTGCTGATGAGAATGCTCCAGATGCTGGTGCTGCCGCTGCTGGTCTCCAGTCTCATTACAGGTATGGACCGGACGCCATGACAGTTATTTTATTTATATATATTTGCTAGGCTTAAATGAACAAATTTCAATATGACTTAAAGGTGCAAGCTTTTTACTAATGATTTGTTATCTGCATCAGTAGGTGCATCGCAAAGTTCAGAACTGTGACAAATTTGTAGGCAAACAAACCTATTACATCAACCACAAGTTTCAAAATCATTGCAGTAAATGACTTGTTTGTCTTCATCTAAGTCKAAATTAAAATCACCCCATATATCGAAATGCTTTGACCCTGTTTTGTATGACAGYTTAGACACAAAGCTGCACTTCTTTCCTCCATCCATTATCACCGATCATTTCTCCCCCTCACAGACAGCTGCCTGACTCCTCAGCATGACTCCAGCTCACTTCTCATTCTGTAGTCCTTGTAGAAATAAAAACAACTCACACAAAAAGACATGAAAGCTCTGCTCCGGTGTTTTCTAACGCCCTAAGGCTCTTTTTACGTTATTTGACTGGATCAATGTCAGGCGCTGCGCCTGTGTTTTCTTTGTGAAAGAACAACACAGATTAAGTTGTTTGGCACCCAGTGGCTCCACTGACCAGCKTGTGTCTCGTGAGCCAGTTGTTTGCTCAGCCGATGCTGTTTGTTACTTTCAGGCCTGTTGGGGGACAGGTTTAGGGTGAACTCATAAGTATGACTTGCAGCTCAGCTCTGAATCATATACCTCACCTCRGTAATGCTGATCTGACAACAACACTGTTTGTTTTTTGAGTTACACTATTTTTGTTMTTTTCTGTACATTTCAGACACATAGATCGTGATCATTTGTTTAATAAKCCTGACTGCGAAGACTGACAGGGAAACAAGCCGGTCTCCTGAAGGGACGGATAAGACTTGTTGTCTGACAATGGTCTGCTTTGTGCCATAGCCGGGAATAACATCAGTGTTCTCTGACATCATGTCACATGACCATAGCTTCAGGCATGACGAAATCAAAAAAGAGTCAGAATAACTATTTCAGTACTCATTTCAGCTGGATTGTGTTGTCAAACACCAAATCCAAATTTAGCATTTCTGTCTTTTGGGTGCTGAACAAACTGCTTTAACTATAAAAACTGTGATCATCTGCAATAAATAAACCTTCATTTTTTTTTTTTTTTGTAAGAAGGTTTTTCAATCAGGACATTTTTCACACCTATCACAACTCAAATGTCAGARAATAAAACCATTGTTATTAATGGTAATTTAATAAGAAATGTTCTGAAGTGTTAATTTGAGGTTTTTGGTCACAGTTTCAAAATTGTAAATACAACTAGACATGGGTTTTTACGATGTAAAAACAAGTGTGCRTTGCCACGTTGCATGTCATTGCAGCATGGCTTKACCTGCARCATTGGACTTACAAAATGAAATGGGACCAAGTTCAAATGTGTTTTCTATACCAGCTTGTGCCTGTCACATGAGCAGGTGTTTGTAATTAAGGTAATTGAGTGACAATATGAAGTTGGAAGAGATTTTTTGTTAAAGTTGCATTAGCCAGGTTTTGAACCCTGATCTTCCACATGAAAGTCCATGACATATAGACCATTAGACCATTAGAGCTCTGGCAGAGTGTGGCGCCAGGGGTTGGTTTGTATGTGTGCAGAAAGAGGCCACATTGCCAATGCAATTATTGACACTATACTGCATAATATGACAACAATAGAGCAGTATTAAGACAAATTTATTGTGAAACACGAAAGTACAATCATATTAGTAGTGTAAACACTGAACCATTGAGGTAAAATATTAAAAAACTATTGTGCAGTTCCAWGTTGAGTACAGCTGGGGGCAGTATTGGACCATTACAAGGCCCCATTTACTCYCCATTACATGAATTTGGACTAAAGTTTAAACATTAATATTTCAAAAACTACAAGTTGTGCAGGTACCAAAAGGCATAGCAATCATTTGGCATAGGACCTTTACAGATAGAAATTACAATAGCATATATAATAACTGTAAACACTGAACTCCTGAGTTGAAATATTAAACTATGGTGCAGTAGCAAGTTGAGTACAGCATGGGGCAGTATTGGACCAATACAAGGCTCAATTGACTGTCATTATAATTCATTAAACATTAATATTTCATAAACTATCAGTTTTACAGGCACCAAAAGGCATAGCAATCATTTGGCACAGGAGCTTTACAGATATAAATTGCAATGGCAGCTCTAGGACAAAGTATGCAGGAGGAGAAGCATGACAAAGTTGAGATGACTTGGATGGGAAATGAATCCCAATAGTGTGCATTGTATTGGCAATGCACACTGATAATAATAATATTAAAGAGAAACAGGAAAATAATGGTGYGCATTGCATTGGCAATGCACACTGATTAAAGTCAGTATTCTGTAAGTTATTATCAGTTTTATTAGCTGCTTTTTAAATTGATGATGATGATGATGATGATGATGATGATGATGATGATGATGATGATGATGAAGAAGATGAAAGCCTTTATTGTCATTGTTTGCACAATGAAATTACATTTAAGAACACCCATTCACGAAGACACACATGACAAAAACATGGGGYAACAGGTGTTCAGGTCATGCAGCAACCAGTTGGGGTYGCACTACCTTTGAAAAGCTTGGAATACACACAATAGGAAAATGAGTTAAAAAGTTATGTTATTGCTCTGTTGTGACTAGTCTGTCCTGAAATGCAACATAACATAAAAATACCAATTTTATTTTTAACATTGCAAGCTATTTATATTTTTATGTTCATTCATATAATTTAAATGAATGGGGGACATATGCTAAATATATTTCAGTATAAAAAAATTTTTTTCACTAAACCAAATCATTTTATTCTGTGTTTTTCTTCGTTCTTTCTGGTATTAACATTTATACTCAGAACACATGTTGGAAAACAACTAGATATTTTAAAAAGCAAACAAGAAATTCAAAAATGTGTCACTAAAATTAAAACTATGATTATTAAAAATTGTGTTGAACAACATTGGGGAAAAAGTTATTTTTAACTATTTACATGTTTGTTTATTTTTGCCACATTTTTGCTTTATTTATGCAAATTTAGATTTTTTTCTAAAGCCACTGAAGTTGGTAATCTGGTTATCTTCTCTGTGTAGGTTAGATTTATTAAAGTAAATCAGGGTGCAGCAGTTTTATTCTAACTCTAAGAAACATTTTACATGCAGAAAATGCACGCACTAGAGTTTCTGCAAAAATGTGGCAAAATAACACGATTCAGAGACTGAAAGATTCTTCTGTATGAAGCGAGTTGTTCCATGCGAGGACTTGCCTCTTCGCTGGTCTAAAAGTGAATTTAAAATCAGGGGCCCTGTGAGGTTTGAGCTGAATTATAAGACCTGTAAAGTAAAACATGAAGGGAGCTTTAGGATGAATGAAGTGGAAAACTATGAATAAAAGCATTAGAGAAAAATGACACGTGTTTTACTGATGAAATTAAAAAAAAGAAAAGTCTACAACCAGTTACACAATAACTTTCTGATCTTATAAAGTTTTAAACACAGACAACTTGCAACTATAAGCACATTAAGCCTTCAGGCTTTACATTGTGAAGGAAATGTACTAAAAAGAAGAAAACGAGCTTGTAGGGCTCAAGCTCTTRTAAGAATACATTCTTACATCATCAGTGGATGGCAAATAGTTTCTGGAAAGCCCTCTCACAGTCGCCACGTCCTGTGTTTCACTCGTCTGAGTGACTTTTGGGTTTGATGAACGTCCCCTTAAATTACAAAAGAAGTCATTCTACTCGTGCTCCTTCAATCTCGGTTCTTTTGAAATGATTGAATTGGTAAGGCCGCGTCTGTTGCTGCCCTGACAACACGCTGGGGATCATTGTGAGTACATGTAGGACTGACTAAGTCAACAGGTTTTCCCAGGCCTGTCAGGTGGGGCGGGTGGGGTTGAGGGGGAAAGGAGTGGAATAATGAAAGAGAACTGTGGCAATAAGACCAGCRTGTTGGATAAAGAGAGGAGGGAGGTGAGATTTGGATATAACGATGGAAGACGAGGGTGAGAAACAAGAGAAGGCGATGGAGGGAAAGGAAAAAAGAGGAGGTGAAAAAAAAATTGAGGGAGGTTCCAAACAAGAGTGTCCTGGACATGTTGAGACAATGTCAAGGCAAGAAATACACCCATACCCAGACACATTTCCTCTTTGATACTCATGATAATAATCCATTCGCTAACCCACCTCATTAACCTTTATTCCAAATAGCCCCCCCCCCCCAACACCCCTGCCTTCCTTTAAACTCAAAAACCAAGCTGTGACCCTTGAACCACCCTCTATGTATCAAAGTGTTTCTCGCATAAATTGCCACAGATGCACATACTTTGGTATTAAAGTGCTACATCTCAAAGAAGCACATAAATCTCAGCAACACAAAACTTGCAAAGAGAAAAAAGACACAATAGGAGCTGACGCTGAAAATGCAAAACCACATGGTTTTCAAAGCAGCTCTTCTTATGACTTTTTCCTCCTAGCTTTGTCCCTATAGAGTGGAATATGTCCAACAATTTTTTGATGGTTTTTACAGCCGACCTGTCAAAAAAGTTTCCCGTGTAACAGAAACACGCAAAAAAATAAATGAATTGATTAATTTAAAAAAAGCTAATCACAGACAGCAACATCAGATGCTTCTTTTGACACCTGAACACACTTTACATATATTACATTACAATCTGGAGTCAATTTTAAARCTGTATTTGAACCAGTTATTATAAACTCAACACTGTTTGTTACAATCTATTAACACACCGAGGAACATTCAGCACTGTTCAGATACAGAAGTAGAAGCCGTGCTTTAACTTAAGCACAACATTTTTATTCAAGAACCATATTCTTTTTATTTTATTCTTGTAGCTTCATGTGAATGTGCAATAGGAAGGCAGATTTTTACAATTTTTTTTTCCCCAGGTGTTGTGAAGAAGGTGTTGTTTTTCCTCCACTAAAGGTCACCGTCAGATTGGGTTTCTCGTGACTCTTTGTTATCACAGATAGTGATATTCAGATAATCCAGATGGGTGTATTCCACAGATAATTGCTGCAACTTTTTCCCAGGCAAATTCTATGCACAATGGAACTGAAGTTACCGGCATATTAATTCAACTTTCATGGGATGGACATCCAAAGGAAATTAGGAAAATTTCCCATAAATATAAAAAGAACATCAACAGAAACCTACTTCACATTTTTGATACATAAATTCTGTCTTTGGACTCCTCGGGCAAATTCAGCATTTTTTGTTTTTCTGTTTGAAATCAGAAAAGCATTTTAGTGACAGCCAGTTGCTATAAATCAGGGGTGTCAAACTCATTTTCACCGAGGGCCACATGAGAGTTRTGGTGGCTTTCGAAGGGCCACTTGTAATGAACTTTGATGTTTCATGTTTAACTTTGACTAAACAGTGTTTTAAAACGTCCTCTTTTAAACACTGATAAGAACYAAGTGTGACTGACTAAATCTGAAATAAATAGAGAAATATTATTAAAAGTAAAGGCAGATTGAGTTTATGGTTGATGCTGACTTTAAAGCAGCTTATTTTCAGACATTAGTACTGTGCTATCCAACTAAATTGCTCAGTTACTCCAAGCCAACAGCTCAGGGACAGGAATTCTTTTAATTTATTTTATTTCATTTATTTTTATTAAATTAATTTTGTTGCATTTAACCATAAATTTAAAGTGTATATATGTATATATTATATATATATATATGTGTGTGTGTGTGTGTGTGTATATATATATATATAGTATATACACCCCCCTCCCCCGGCGGGCCACACGGGAGTCACCGCGGGCCAAATGTGGCCCACAGGCCTTGTGTTTGACACATGTGCTATAATTCAAAAGTAGGATACATCTACATACAAGATATAATGAGTGAAATAAAATGTAAACAATTACTTCAACTTGCAAAATAACTCATGAACCTCTGGATTTACTGGATGTACCAATACAGCTGTTTAACTCTGAAAGTCAACCTAACTCAAAGGGGCCATCAGAGGCAACTGAACTTAGAAAACAGACCAAAAAAATCATATTTACCCTATTTATACTAATATGGTTTTAATTAATTATTTTCTCCAGGTATTGCTGCTCTGGATAGCCGTGCCTCTGGTAAAATGGGAATGAGGGCAGTGATCTACTACACCACCACAACCGTCATTGCTGTCTTCATTGGTATTGTCATGGTGCTCATTATTCACCCCGGGAAGGGATCAAAGCAAGAGTTCACCAAGAATCAGCAGATAGAGCAGGTCAACGCTGCTGATGCCTTTCTGGATCTTATCAGGTACCTATGTTAATGCTAGAAGTGGCACGAGTGGACTCCAGTGCACCGAGYCTGTCAACAACATTTCCATTTAACATTCTCCCTGGATTTCCTCAATTGACACTGATCACTCAGATGGAGGTGTTCAAAGTAGGAAAATGTRAAAAAAAAATACATCTTCAGAATGCAAATCTGGCAAAACAAAAAAATACTATTAAGTAAGTATTTAACTAGCCTTATTTTATTGTTTTCCAGAAACATGTTTCCTCCTAACATTGTGGAGGCTTGCACCAAACAGGTATTTTCCCAATGCATCTTTTTTTACATAGTTATGTGAGCTTTTTTACCACCAGCACCTTATGGCGATAAAAACCTCTGCAATGTGGGTTTTCTGTTCCTTTTCACCATTTTTATTCTAACAACCCATACTGATACTGGATCTCCAAAGTAACAAACTATTTAATATTAACATATTACTCAAACCATCGTATTTAGAGCTTAATCCAAAAAATGTAAAAAATTTTTTTAAAAAAACTTGTAAAATTTCTTTAACGGTTTTCGGAAATGACATTTCAAAGGATACTTGTTGACAAAAAAACGTTGAATTATATGATTGAATTAACACTTAATATGTTTTACTAAACCAAGAATGATCTGTTATTTTCTTTCTTGTGGAAATCAAGTTCAAGACGCAGTATGCCAAAAGAATAATCCACGTGACAGTCACGGTGAATGACACCATATTACTGCAGAACGGCACTCAGCAAATAGCCGAGGAGGAGATGATCCCGGTGCCGGGGGCAGTAAATGGAATCAATGCACTGGGTTTGGTGGTGTTCTCCATCTGCTTCGGTCTGATCATCGGCAACATGAGGGAACAAGGAAAACCCCTCCGAGACTTCTTTGACTGCCTTAATGAAGCCATCATGAGACTTGTTGCCATAATAATGTGGTAAGTGTTAAAGCTCCTAAATGACTGGAAAGACAACAAAACATTAAATGCTTGCACTGCAATTTTATTTTAAAACCTGTCCATCCTCAGGTATGCCCCCATTGGTATCTTGTTTCTGATTGCTGGTAAGATTGTGGAAATGGATGACATCTCAGCTATGGGAGGTCAGCTGGGAATGTATACAGTGACGGTTATTTGCGGCCTGCTCATCCACGCCATTATAGTCCTGCCAACGCTTTACTTCGTCATCACTAGGAAGAACCCTTTCCTATTCATTGGAGGGCTGCTGCAGGCGCTCGTAACTGCCCTCGGAACATCTTCTAGGTAGGTGGTTGGACTGAGCACCTAAATATTACACATGCAAAGCCTCCATGTTCATAGAAAATGTTCTCCTATTGCCTTCACAGCTCTGCCACATTGCCCATCACTTTTAAATGTCTGGAGGAGAACAACAACKTGGACAAGCGTGTGACCCGTTTCGTGCTTCCTGTTGGTGCCACCATAAACATGGACGGCACCGCTTTATATGAAGCCYTGGCAGCCATCTTTATTGCCCAGGTCAATGATTATGACCTTAACTTTGGACAGATTCTCACCATCAGGTATTGCAATGCTTGGATTATGTTTACTCTAAAACAGCTTTTTTTACGACATTCATCTCACAATCGTTCCACAGGATCCCACTTCAAAATGTTGAAACTATTCTTTAAATTTTTTGATGTCCAGAAAAGAATTTTTATTATTATTGTAAGTTTTGACCAAAGTGAAACACAAGGACAACTAGTTCTGGAGCTAACAGAAAAAAAAAATTGAAGTGACCCTCCTTAGTGCTATTATCAAGAAACCTGTTGCACATCTGCACTTTTGCACACACTCTAAACCAGGGCTGTTCAACTGGCGGCCCGCGGGCCACATCCGGCCCGCAAGTGACCAAAGTTCGGCCCTCCAATTGATTTATTCATCTCTTAAGCCCGACCCCCGGTTTTCTACTTTAATTACTTTAGGTTCTTTTAGTTAAACATAGACATATTTGGTATCTACAGAAACGTCAGAATCTTGGCTACAAGGTGGGAAAAACCATTTCTATAAACACTCAAGACAGTTAAAACTACAAGCAGTTGAAAATAAAATGATGAAAGTGAAAACAAAATTGGTTTAAAAAATTGGCAAGTCAGAGATGTTAAAATGATATTTGCGTCAACTAAGAGGCAAAATGTGTTCTTTTTGTTTTGGATCATGTTTAACTATCACTTTTAATAGGGATCTGTATGTTGTATTCATGRTTAAATGCAGCAAAATAAACAGGTTCAAAGGTAACAGATCTTTGTAATACTTGGTTTATTTACATAATAACTTTAATTGCTGTTATTATTTACATAATAACTTTAATTGCTGGATGTTCGGCCCCTCAGCTGTTGACCTGCAGTAACTGTGGCCCCGGAGCAATTTAGTTGAATAGCCCTGCTCTAAACACTGATAGTGTTGTTCCCTTTTTGATGTTATTATCTCTAGTTTGGTCTCTTTTTTTTCCAGGCATGGTCTTTTTATCCTTTACCCCTTATTACTTTCTTTAGTATCCTTTAAGTCGGGTTTTTTTTTCGTCTTGTTGTCTCTTGGCATTCACTGTGGACAGAAAAGTAAGAATTTCATTGCTCAGGGAAACATGTTTCATCTGTGTATATGACAATAAACACTTTGAATCTCGAACCTTTGAAGAAACGCTCCAAATAGTGCTGGGACGTGTTCAAATAGACTCTTCTCTTCTCAGTATTACAGCCACAGCAGCCAGTATTGGAGCAGCTGGAATCCCTCAAGCTGGACTTGTCACCATGGTCATAGTACTAACATCTGTAGGGCTTCCCACTGATGACATCACCCTGATCATTGCTGTTGATTGGTTCCTGTAAGTWTCCATAAAATGGAGGGACCTCACTTTATCATGTAAAATTATTGCAAAACACAATCACTTTTGCCCTTCAGCAACATGTCTTAGAACTGTTGAGCAGATCTTCCAGAAGGAATCTTGTTGTTCTAGATTTACTGTAAAATTTGTCTTCGAGTGTTTAAACTCTTATTTATCGACCTTTTTTTCTGTTCAGAGTTTACAAAGAGTGAGAAACATTGTTGTGTCTTGTTAGTTCATGTTGTTTTCTGTCTCCTCTCCCTGTTCTCAGGGATCGACTGCGCACCACCACCAACGTCCTCGGCGACTCCATCGGAGCTGGCATCGTGGAGCACCTGTCTCGCCACGAGCTGCGAAAGAAGGACCCAGAGGTGGGGAACTCGGCGGTGGCGGAGGAAGCCGACAGGAAGCCGTACCAGCTAATTTCCCAAGAGAACGCATACGAGAAYGAGAGGCTGGATGACAGCGAAACCAAGATGTAAAGGAGCGCAAATTCTTTCACCCAAAGCTGGATGTAATCCTGTAGGAAAATCCCTTGCTCTGTCACAGACAGACTAATTTTCAAAACTCACAAACCTGGAGGGTTTTAATGAAATGAAACATACTGCTAGAACGTATCTCAGCCAAATGAATTCCACTACTGTGTGAGGGTCCCCGYTTTCCACACTGCTGACTCTAAGGGTTTATACTGTGATGCTTCCTGGGATGCATGTAGGGTGAAAGGGGGCAGCTGTTTACTATTATGAATGATTTACAGAGCCCAGCTGTCATGTGGTGTGCATTCAACGTGCAAACTTTGCTTTGACTGTAAATGTTGATGTTGTCCACTAGAGGCCGGTTTTGCTGTGGGTCATCACAGTTTGTAGATGCACAAATCTTCTTGCTTTAAGGTTGCTGCTTTTGCTTAGTTCCCTAGTGTTTTAAATGAAAAAAGTTTAAGTTTGAATTTGTTTAGAGAAAAGTGAAATGTATCAGATACCAAACACATAAACACACATTTAAAAAAAACGGCTCGTGGGAAAAATGGCTGCTTTAAACCTTTTGCACATATACCTGAGGCTTTAATTTTTACAGTTTGTTGTACAGATTTACGCTGAATTAGTATCAATATGTTTTATGTTAGACATTTAACCTGTAAAAGTCTAAAGCAATAAGTACTAGATAAGCAAAACAGATAGAATCTTCATTTTTGTTTCTAAAATAGATCTTTACACTAATTGTTAAATGTCTCAGTGTTTTTGCTTCACATTCATTTCTTTAGTTTAGAATATGACATCATTTTTCAACATACAATTCTGAAAAATTCAACTTAGTTATACCTTAAGTTAAATTATGAAAGYATTTTGTTGCTGATTTATTCCACATGTGAATCCTGAACAACACACAAAAAAATGAGGCATTAACTCTCTTAACCTAATCAAACCCAAATTAGTTTTTTAAAAATATGAACCTAACCACTTTCCTGAGCTTTCCATAACAAATGAATAAAAAACTAAAAAATAATTATAAAACAAGTGCCTTTTGTTGGAAAATACTCATCACTGTGTTTGAAAAGTGTTATCTGGATGATCACTTTCATTACACTCAACAGAATTCATCGCAAGTGATCTGAATGGGTTCATTTTGTAAACAGCAGGCTGAAGATTTTTCTTCTTAAACTGCTACCTTGTTTGTTTGTGTCGCCCAATTTAATGTGTACRTACTGTATGTATTAGATTTCATTTAGGTTCCATCATCTGCTTTGGCTAACTTGCTGTTTAGGATTGAACTAATTCAATGTAAAAGAAAAGTTCWTACATAGCTCTTGTTTTGTATAAAAGATCAATCTGAACATACTGTATCTGTATAGATAAATGTAGATAAATATGTATATTATTTGTAGATAATATAGAAAAAAAATGGTTACTTAATTGTTGTATAATTAAAGACAACCACAAGTTTACCAAACCTCATGACCAACTAACAGTCTTTATAATTTGTATTACAAATGCAAAAGAAAAAAACTTTAGATTTTTTTTGTAGCATTATCATTTATAGAATTTTGGAAATGGAGTAGTTCATTTTGTTTACAGTTGTTAGTACCTGCTTTGACGTGATGAATTCACACAAATACCATCAAACTTTTGTAGTTTTGTCTTGCATGTATTTTTAAAAATCAAAATAAAGAAAAAATGCTGCCTGAGTGTTTATTATATTTAGTTATCATTTCTATGTGTGATTGTGTTTTCACTGACTCGACTGGACCGCAAGCAACATTATAAATGTTTTACTGTAGAGAAGCACAGTTGAATCAAGAACATGTAAACACAATGTCTGAATGAAGCTGCTTTGAATGTGTAATCATGCATTACTGGTACCAAAACTGATAAGGACATTTTACTTTATTTTTACAAAAATAATACTTTCTTTCCCATTTTATTTGAGGGATCGAGGTCAATAAGTAGCATATAAAAACAAACAACATAAAATCTTTTTATGATTTATCAAATCTCAGGAAATAGAAATTCTGCTTTATGAGTTTAGTAAAAAATTAAAACAATGACTCTGTATAACAGTCTGTGCAGGTGTAATTTGTAACTGATGATGCAATTATGTAGCTATTGTGTTTATGATTTTTTTCTCAATTCAGAACACTGTTCATTAGAGTGAGGACACCTAATAATCAAATAATTTAGCATACCTTTTCCTAAAATGCAGACAAAGCCTCCCAGATAATCGGAATTGTTCTAAGTCTTTTAAAAACAATCAACAGCTGGTGAAACTTGGTTATCATAAACCACTGTGTTTTGTGGAGTCTCCTTGCACAAGGCTCACTGAAGAGTCATATTTTTTTTCTAAGTGTAAACCAAAACCTTAATATATCAAATGCTACAAATGTCCTGGCAAATTATGCAAAAATCTTGGTAAAAAGGAGTGTGTACAATGGTTTTGGGAGATAATTACCAGTAAAAGTGATCAACATATTTAAACAAAATTGTGTTTTACTTAATTTAATTTACGTAATTTCCGTAAAAGTATTAAAGTAGATCAAGATGTATGAACTGTGTTTTATTGTAAAACAACACAATTTAATGTTATAATACAAAGTGAAGAAGACACAAAGTTGTCTTACACTGCCCCCTAGCGGATACAATTTGTTACGTCGCCTGGCATTTTGTTTGGCGCCGATGGAGGGAGTCACTCCTGAGATCTTCGGTCAGTCAGACGACAGAACTTCCGGTCGGCATTTTGTTCTACGAGAGGAGAGCCTCTTGATGATCGCAAAATTCGTCATATTTCTCATTTACGGTCGAAATTGGCTGCAAACGTTGCTTATGTCGGTACAGACCGGATGAAGCTCCGAAGAATGAATATTTTCCCACGAATATATGTTGAAATATTCACCCTTGAGTAACGGAAGAAGAACGAATCGGTCCGACCCGGATTATTGTTGATAGCTATAGCAGGCTAGCTCATCGGCTAGCAGGGGAGCCGAGTCGAGTTCCTTCTGGAGGAGCTGCGCGAGAGAAGAAAGGGGGAGCTAGAGAGATACGGACACAAACCAAGCTAAAACATTCCCCTCCCTTTCACGCAACATCCTAAGGTAAATATTCGCATAACTGTTTTTTTGTTTATATCACTTTAAAATCGATTGTAATAATTAATGATAATTGGTGTTTTGTTGCAAGAACACCTACGGCGTCGTTGATCGTTGACCGGGAGGTAACGGAAGCTAAGTGAACTAGCAAGCCAGGCTAGCTCGGTGTGTTTTTGCTCCGCTCGGCCTCAACTGGATGTCATTTGTCGAGCCCGAGGATTGGGCCGTTGCCACGGAATTGAAATCCCTGCAGTTGCCCGTACTTGTGCGCTCTCTGAAACCCATTACTTTTTTTTTTTGTTGTTGTTGTTGCGAGGCTAATTTAAAAATAGGCTAACATGATCATTAACCCCGACTAGCGCTTCCTTGTATTAGAATCGGCTTCCCTTTATTTGAACGAGAGGCAACATTTGAAGCCAACTAAAAACAGTTAGAGCTAGTTAGCATAACTAGCCAGCTATTAAAACACGACTATTGTTGTTAGCAAATGTTTGGCTGCTGTTCGGAGTGATTTTGGTTTTGCTTCGGTGATAGCTCGAAGGATCCAAGCAGTCGGGAACTTCGCGGCGGATCGTTTCTAAGCTGCATCTCCGCAGTTCAACGGAGAAACATTGATATAAATGCTAAGTGTCTGCTAAACGACAGGGCTGTCTTGTGAGTTTTTTTGACGTCTTACATGAGAGTGTTTTGGATTTCTGGAGCTTTTTTGCAAAAGGTGCCATTGGTTTTTAAGTGCAGTTTGGAAATGTTTTGACTGTACTTTTTGCCGTAGCTTTAGTTACTTTCGCAGCTTGATTGTTGTTGGACGGGCTTATTGTTGTGAATAAGGACCGTGTAGTTCGCTTTGCAGCTACTCTGTTTGCGAGAGGCGTACGGTGGCTGTTTGCTTCTGGAGGATGCAGCCCCCCCACCACTGCCGCCACCATCACAGTGCATCTGTTCCTTTGTGCTGCCTCCTGCCTGTCAGTCTCACAGCTGTCAGCCGAGAGCCAAGCCCCTGCGTGCTGTGGAAATCCACACAAGCTAAGCATGCTAACGACACCGCTTGCTAATGTACTGTTTACATTATCCATCTGTTGATCCTCCCGTCACATAGTGCGCAGAATAAGTTTCTTTATCGAGTAAGGAAGTGTGGCTGCAGTGATAGCATGATGCTCTCGTTTCAGGTTGCGGCTTCAGTGTTTACGTGAAGGAGCGTTTGTCGTTCATTTCAAGTTATTACCAAAAATGACTGACGATCGTTGCAGAAAAGAGTTGCATTTGTGCCCTTACAACATGCTACTATTTTTGGCAACATCTATATCTTTTTGTTATTATTGTTATTTTTTGTTGCTGTGTGGTTTTGTTTAGGCACTTTGATGCTGCAAATTCTGACACAGAGCCATGTTCTCTTTCAGCAGAGTGGAGGTGTAGGACTTTTTATCTGAGATGTCAGTGAGTCCACCGGAGACTGCACAGAGTTTTTCGAAAAGGTACTGCCATAATGACATGTAAATATCAACACAACTGATCATAAATGTGGTTTATCTTCTTATCCTTGTGTAATTGTTGTTAATTTTGCTGTGTAGTGCATGAATTTCTAATTTGGCATCACATGTTTAAACAACTTGAAAGTCCGTGAAGCTTGCTGTAAAGTTATAGCCTTCTTTCTTCTCCGTGCTATTACTTGACCTCTTGCACAATTTTACCTGACATGTCAGGTGCATGTAGTAAAACTGTTTAAGACATGAAGCAAGAACCCCTCCTTTATGCCTAATATGTTAAGGTACTTCATAACTTGAGTATCTTAGAATTCAAAATACCAGAGGATAACGTTTTTATTGCATGCATGCAAATATAAAATGCATATCAGTATTATAAATGTTATGCAATTRCAATATGTTAGAAGTATTTATAACACAAAATATATATTTATCATGTATACTATATACAGTATGTACCTTTCTTTAAGGCAGTATGTGGTTTAAATGAACAGATTGTGTAGATTTATTATTTTGTCAAGACAAGCAAAATGTTGAGACTTATTCAGTGAAGTTCACTATTATAGGCACTGTGCAGTATTAAAATACTTTATGTACTGAATATTCCCGATCGGGTTCAATTCATTTCTTTTTATAGAGCATCTTACCCAGATTTATATATATATACACACACACACACACACACACACACACACACACACACACACACACACACACACACACACACACACACACACACACACACACACACACACACACACACACACACACACACAAGGCATTTTTAAGAGGCTTGGACATGTATGTGTGCTTTTAGGGGAGTTACATTTTATTGACTCGTTATTGCCATCAAAGCTTGAAACTAAACTTTTGTTTCTTCTGGAAAGACCAAGAATAATCACCCATAAATATATACCTATAAAGAGCCACAGAAATATTGATAATAAATTTTAATTCAATTTCTTGTGTATTTTTGGCTGTTGTTATTTTTTGAGTTAAGCATCTTATTAGACTTTTACAGATAAACAAACCACTGACATTTCCCTACTGATMAATTAATTCACTGTGACTACTAACATTTAACCTGTGCAAGAATATTTTGTAATTTTCTACWAAAAATAAGGCATAAAGGGAAATATGTATGCATCAAATAATTTAGACTATGTCTTAAACTGTTTTTTAGGTTCCCAAAATGTTGAGAGTTAAACACATTCATCTTTTTTCCTAAATGTTATTTATTTACTCATTTTGTAGGGCAGTTCGTTTTAGGCTGAAGTACTTCTTTTTCTCCATTTTTGTCTCCAGCTGTTCATCACTCATTCTGTTTATGCCTTTCTCTCTCACTAATCCTGGTTTTTCTAAGGTGCCGGGAGATGTGAGGTGAGGACAGGTGTCGTTTGACCCCCTGATCTACCTGTGTATCAACACACTCCCCCACCCTCACCTTCAGCATGAATGGGGATATGCCTCATGTTCCCATCACCACTCTCGCTGGGATCGCTAGCCTCACTGACTGTGAGTGTCACACAGTTGTATTTCAGGCACATCATTTCTTTATTTATTTATTTTTTGCCTTTTTCAGAAATTTTTTATTTAAACAAATGTATAATTGATTCGTTTTCATGCGTTTGTGTTGTTGTTTTTTTTAATTATATGTCCAAACAGTTTTTTGTTACTACTTTATTTTCGTGTCCCTAAACCTGTCCTTATGGAAATTTTCTTCTTTTCTTAGTGTTGAACCAGCTGCCCCTCCCTTCCCCTCTACCTGCCACCACCACTAAGAGCCTCCTATTCAATGGGAGGATTGCAGAGGATGTTAATCGTCTGTTGGACTGTCGAGATGAGAATCTGGCCTCCCAGTTAGCCCATGGTCTCAACCAGGTCTCCACGGAGCACATGTAGGTTTAAAATTATGTCTTTTTGGCAGAATAGTTCATGGGGAAAATTCCTTAATAGTTAATCACTGTCAGTCCAAAAACCTTTAAAGTTTAGTTTTATTTATTTATTTATTTATTTCTGCATTTTAGCATCTATTTGCATTAATGATCCATATATATAAAACAACAAACACAGCAAATTTATTTCAAATTCTGTAGCTTAATAATTTGCATAGCAAAATGCGTG